ATTTACTGGTAGTCTTGAAACTCTGTTTATATACGTAAAGTAGGTAATGTAGTCGATTGTTATAGCAAAAATACGTTTGCTCTATCGATAATCCCACCAAAGAATGTGATATGGGATATGGCCCTTATTGAAATTCACATCTGCCCCGTGACCCAAAGGCACGGTTAACGTGTCAAGCTTCCATTTCGTACTGTCACGGTTCGACTCCCGCTGGGGGTGTTGATAAGACCAATACGGGGCCAAAACTCCAGTCCACTCTGGATGAGAACAACCTTTGGGAAAGCAAGGCTATGTGGAATTTAATGGAAACTTAAGCTTTACTCATATTATTGTGGGGAAATTATACTACCTGTCCTTCATCAGCTTAAACTAAATAGGGTGAATACATCTCATATTACTAGAACTATTATTTAATATCAAATAGGTTACTTAAAAATCCAAGGCAAACCCATTAATCTGTTAACAATGACTTTTTTCGAAATATTTTTTTTATTCATTTCCAAGAATAGTCACCTTTGTCGTCTGTCGGTTGAGATTTGAGTCCAACGGCGCACCTACAAACAAGTATGCGTTTTCCTCAATCTATATTAACAAAAACCCATTTGCATGCGAAAACGAGATCAACCCACTTCTAAAAATCGAAAGGAGACTGCGACCATACTGGGAGCAACACCATCTTGGTCTTCATGTCTTCGATAGGAAAGGAAGCTGCTACAGTTAATAGTCAATGGTTTATTTGAATATACATTCATTTAAAAGATAGGAAAGTATACCTTGATTGCAAATTATTCTTGACAATCTGCATTTTTCTTGGTTCAGTGACAAGTCTGGAGCTGACCTCTGCACGAGAATAGACATCACTGTCACCTTCGTTCAGATGATTGCAGCTTGGACATCTTAGATCGTTTAGACAAGAGTCTTCATTGCAGTGCATATGACTGTAGTGGCTCGCTTTAGCCGTCTCCAGATCGTCTCCTGCAGTCTCAGTTCGCATAGATCCAGTGAACCAAGAAATGATTCTTCCAAAAAGAGAATTAGATAGATGGATGCCTTCATCTGGCGGTGCAATTGACACTGAACCTTCCTTGTTTATACGAGAATTTGCGTTGAAAGCTACTTCAGTCGAGCACGAGCTTATATTCATTGAAAAGTCGATGCTGCCAACTGGAGCAACTTTTCCTTCCATTTCCCAGATCGCAGGTGAACCAGGAAAGTCGGTGCCGGTTGTCACTTTGCTCGTCGCCAAGATATGATCGCCACTCGACCTACCCTCCGTCACGCCCATCCTTGCCTCCTGAAGGGGTTCTGATATAGTCGACCTCTTTGTCGCCTTGTCACCATGTGACATTTGCTTCGCCTGGTGACGACTCAGCTGTTGACTGTTCACACTGGCGCGATGAGAACGATAGAGTAAGAGGAGTACTGTTAGGCCAACTAAGATAATTAGAGGCATACCGATGGTCAGAAGCAACAAGAGAGCAAGCATTCGCGGATGTGTTACAAGACCGGCAAAATTGTCCATCAGTCCAAAGGCCATGACACGGTCACCGGACGAAGGGTGAGCATTCCGAGAGGAATCAACCATTTTCGTATCTGCACGGCCTGACCTGTGACCAAGAGGAGAGATGCCTAAAGCTGAACTCAGCGAAGCTGAGCTTGGATTTTGAGAATTGAGGTAATGTTGAGCCAGCAACGAGTTAGGCGACACGACGAGTAGAGTATCTCCGTCCCACGTAGGGAGTAGCCTTGTCTGGTTTCCTGCCGTCAGTAGCTTATCAATCGTGTCCGCGGCATCAGCCAAACGACTTGGAATATATAGATTCACAGAAGCCTGGCAAAAGATAGCCCGACCAGCAGAGCTGAAATAATTGAAGGTTTACTAAAGAACTGTGCTACGAGCTTATAGCAAAATAAAGATCCAAAAATTTATGCGTAGTAAAGTAAGGGTTAGGCATCAGAATAAAGAAAATGAAAATCTAAATATGTTTTTAAGTGATTACCTAAGAAAATAGAACATCAATTAGGAAACAAGATAAGAGAGTACTGTGTAATATAAGATAATAGTATGATATGATATCTAATGACATAGCTAAAGTAACATGGATACATAAGGCATATAATATTAAAATGCAGTATACAATGGCATAGTAATGTGCAAAATAGTATAGAATAGGAAGTTAATCCCAGTTAAGCAGATTACAGTAGAAAGAAAAATAAAAACTTGGTTTCGAACAATTTCTTGGTGAGATATTGGTACATGACTTTCCACTTAGAAGAAAAATTTGGTTGGAATGAATTTGTGATGCGGTATCACCGAAAACAGAACGAGGATTGCCGCATAAGGAAAAGTGTTGAATTGTGCAAAGAAGCATTTGGATCAGCGTCCTGCGACCCAGATGAAACTGTGCAAAGCTTTCGTCGCTACTGTGGCAGACATCCTCAGAGCAGGTATCCATACTTCATAAGATATAACAAAAATATACTAAACCAAGAGAAGAGGTGGCCGGCTGCAAGTCTGGTCGGTTTTTTATACGTTCAACTTCGCGATCGTAATGAGGCACCCCATGATTTGGTTGGCTACCCCAAGCTTACTCAATATTCTTGCAGATGATTCAAGTTATTTGACGAACCGGAAGTGCATTCGGTAGCAGCTGTTTCCTTGCGAAAATAAACTAGTGTACGATCCTCTAATATTGAATCATGTTTGTGCTTCTGTTTTTGTCTATTGTGTGTGTGCGTGTGCATGTGTGTGTGTGTGTGCAATATTCATGTTTTTCGTATAAGTAGAGTTTTGAGACGAAACGAAATAGGGTGAATACATACAATACATCAAATATTAATGTCATGGGAAATGTGATATTCTTGGCTAGACTTAAGGCTCATCTAGCCTCCTTCTCTTGCTCAGTGGCTCTTTATGCACTCATTCTCTCTCCCTCTCCTTAAGCCTATACGACAGCCACAAATAGTTCATACTCAGTTTTCTACATTCGTTCCTCCTATTCAGGGCGTTGGTTGCTTTGTTAATTTCTATAGACTCCCAAATCTTACACGTTTATGTGAAGTCCCCGAAACCCACAAAACGGTGTGCTTTGCTCTATTGAGTGATGAAAATAGTAATTGCATATAGATGAGTCAATTTGGCAATTTATAATACATATTTTACCTTCAATGGCTAGTTGTATGCGCAAGCACGAGGCTTAGCTATGGGATCTTATTTAATCCCTAAGATAGCCACTAAC